TAGTAAGAAAGGTTTTTGAAAAATGGGTATTCCAATGTAAAGCGCATTGAGCTACTTTTTTTGGAAATGCGCTCTATAAATGTTATATATTATTATTATTATTCTCTATTCCGCTTTCGTGGTTGTACACTCCAGAATTTCAAAGGTGTGGAATGAGTGTGCACTCATTGTAAACAGAAGCCTCATTTGTTCACAATGGCGTCTAAGAAGATGGACTTTCCCAAGATTAGATCTAAACAAAACTAATGAAAAACTGAAAATTAAACTACAATTTGGAAAGTTAAGTGGTTCCGAAGTTTTAGGCCGCGAAAGTGACGGAATTTCACAAATATAATAGGTAGAGACAATGGAAATAACGGATGCTTGAATAATGTCAAAACTGTGTTACAGTATGTGTGTGTGTGTGTGAAGAGAGAGAGAGAGAGAGAGAGAGAGAGAGAGAGAGAGAGAGAGAGAGAGAGAGAGAGAGAGAGAGAGAAATTATACTTATCTACATTTATTGCAGAACTTCCAGGAGCAAGATCGCCGTGATCTCGATATTGCAAAGCGAGGATGGTTCACGAAAATGTTAAAAAAATGTCAGGAAAGTCGTTACAAAGGCGAAGCCCTACATTAGTCTCGCTGAGCAGATCGCAAGGCGGCAAACGAGAAATTATGGAGGTAGGTTTGCTAATAGGGTAAAGGCCAGTAGAGCGCGGAGGGGGGTGGGGTATCGTTGTGTTTGCTTATCTTGTATGTGTCGTTATTTTAGTGATTGTTTGTGGTGTGATATTCCATAATATATATAATAATACAGTATGGTGAATACATACTGCCCCTGTTGTTGCCAGAGTGGGCCCCAGTCATAACAGTTTGGATATAACAGGATTCCAGGCTAATAATAAATCCCGGACTCCGATCTCTTATATTGCCCAGAAAGAAAAAAGTTCTAGGGCACTCGGACAGACATGCTCGGCTATAACAGTTCCCCAATCGTCGAAAAGAAATCACTAAACAAACGGAAATGAAAGCAAGAAAAAGCAACTGAAGCAAAAGAACTGCCGACATTGAAGGCGAGTTGGAGCTACTTTTAACCCAGTTGGCCTGGGTTAATTGTGTACACATTGATAAATGTGTTCTACCATGTGTGCAGGGGAGGGAGAGGGGAAAGCTGGAGTTTATGTAATGGTGTTTATGTAATTCCAGTTCGTGACTTAGCGTGGCCTTGGTTTGACCCCAAATTTCGCATTAATGTTTCTCTCCGTGACATGCTCGGCTATAACAATGGCCCAATCGTCTAAAAAAAGAAGCAAAAGAACAGCCAACATTGACAGCGAGTATGACCTACGTGAATCACAGTTGGCCTAAGTTGATTGTGTACACATTGTGTTATACCACGTGTGCAGGGGAGGGAGAGGGGAAATGAAATGCACGTTGGCGTTTATCTAACGCCAGTTCGTGATTTAGCATGACCTTGGTCTGGCACCAACTCTTCACATAATATGCTCTCCGTAAGGTGGCGAGATTTTCCACGGGAAAGAAAAATAAAATTTAATGATAAGTAAGCACTGGACATCAGTTGTACCTCACATCTATGCCATGTGTGGTCCTTTTCCCAAAAGTAATAACTATTCGATTACGAATGGTTATTAATAAGCGTGCTAATATGTGCTCTATAGATGTAATTAGGAGGCTATTATTACTGTTCTTGCTTCTAAGATCAGGTCTAGCCTACTCAGTCTCCATCAGACTATTGTACAAGAAATAGTAAGATAAAAATGAGGAGAAAAAAATGTAATTATAGGTAAAGAAAAGAGCACTAACTAACAAATTGGTAGTTTGTAATTTAATCGTAATTAAAACGATCTCATTTTGTAATCATGATTATTTACAGTGTACGTAAACTTGTTGTTGTTGTTGTTGTTGTTGTTCATGGTGTGAATACTGTTATAATCAGTCGCCATTGTTGTTATCGTCGTTGTTGCTGTTGTTGTCGTCGTCTTCGTCCTTTACTTGGGTATTACTATCAATAAAGCATTTGTTTCTATTCTTTTATTACTACTATTGCTGTTGTTGTGGGTTTTTAAAAACTCTTGATCCCATCTAGTTGTTGGGCCAGGCGTAAGACCTTTCTCTCCCGTAGGAAATGGACACCGTTTTGTGCTGGTACATTACGGTTGCGGCCTTGAAATATTAGGTGTGAAACACATGGCCTCAACGGCTAGCACGCGTGCACCACCATACACACACACACACACACACACACACACAAACAAACAAACAGACACACACCCACACACACGCACATATATATACATACGCACATACACATACGCACACACAG